GGTAGAGCACGGCGAGGGGAACAACAAACGTTAAGGCCGAAGACTTTCCATCAAGGAAAAGTGAACCAAAAGAGGAGAGATAAGATGGCAGCACCCCTTGGGCTGCCATGGGAGCTCCAGGTCGTGCATGAAGAGGGGAGAAGATGAAAAATGAAATATCTCACCCCCTTTTATAGAAATCTCAAAAAGTGCCCCGAACGGGCCCTGCTGGGTCCGAAAAAGTAAAATTTGAGCAGACGCGCTCAACTGGCAAAACTTTGTGAACGAAAAAGATTCAAAATGATAAAATATGAATAACGGAAGAAACAGCATCAAAAACTGAGTCCCGAACAGAAAGTTATGCCCAAAACAAGTTTGGCGAAAACTGGGGCCAAAAACCCTGAAACTGGAAAACATCGACTAGGAGGAAATTCCAAGAGTACACAACTCGACGAAATGTCAAAATGAATCCCGTACGAGGATCCAGGCTCAAAACAAGACATTTTGCAATAACTTTCATTAATTGCACAATGGCCCCTCTAAAAAGTGAAAACTGTACTTATGGCCCAAAATGAAAATATCTTCCAAAAATATTTTCTTAAAAACCCCTGAAATAAAATATCTTCAAAAGATATTTATGAAAAACACCCCAAGAAAAGAAAATAATTTCAAAGAACTTTGCATCCATGCCCCTATGGACACCGGGAGCAACCAGAGTACTTTCTTGCAAAAGTAAAGATACGTATTTCGAGGAAACCACTCAAGATGAAGGCACGTGAAGTCAAAAACCAACTCCGAGCATGAGAAGTGAGGTTGTGCCAACAATGTGACAAATGGGGAAAAGACAGAATAGGGAAAAAGACGAAACAGGGAAAAGGACGAAAGACGCATAGTGTCCGAAAAGTGAAAATGCAGAAATGACTCGGTCCTCAAAGGAAGTTGTCAATTCACAAGAAAGAGTCTCAGAAACCAATTCTGAACACTCGAGATGACACTAAGTGACACGAAACAAAGCTCAGAAAAGAAAATTAAAACAAAAAAATTCATTCGTAAAATTTTAAGAAAAAGGAAAGGGAGGTAAATGACCGAGTCGTTACAGGAATACCCCAAGAATATACCTTCATCTGCCTTTGAATCAAATTTCCCCAAACTGTCAATGTGATTAAGTATATAACATTTGCTGCCAAATATTTTGAAGTAGTAAAATGTTGCAGGCCTTCCATACCACAATTCAAAAGGTGTCTTGGCTGAATTTGGTCTAAGAAGAACCCTGTTGATGATGTATACTGCAGTGCTTACAGCTTCAGCCTAAAAATCCTTTGCCAAACCTTTTTCAAGCAACATTGTTCTTCCCATTTCCTGAACTGTCATATTCTTTCTTTCCACAACCCCATTTTATTGAGGTGTAGCCACAACTGAGAATTCTTTCTTAATTCCTTTGTCATCACAGTATTTTTCAAATTCTCTCATAGTGAATTCAGAACCAAAGTTAGACCTAAGTCTTTACAATACAACTTCTTTAATTTTCAACCAAATTGACAAACTTAATGATAAGTGTTTAAATGTTGCACATTTCAGTACCTAAGCTAGGGTATTTTAGTCCTTGCATCTATCTTACTTTCCCGTTTTACTCCTAATTTATGTTTATGTCTATTTCAGGGCAATAGGTTCAAACGGGCTTAAATCGGTCCATTAATGCCTTTTTGTAGACAAGCAAAAAGTTCCAAAACATTCCAGAAGAAATCAGAAAAGTGTCGAGAATGCAGCCAATAATGCACTACATCCGAACGCCAACATCCACGTATATTGACCAATGGTAATGAATTGACATTTTTGCCCTTTGACCTTTATATTGACCAATTTAAATGTTAAAATTACCTTTCTAACCTTTACTTACAAACCAGATCCTTCCTTCTCCCATCTTCTTCGTCTTCTCATCTTGTGTTTCATAACTATTCTTTTGTATTTCAAACAGATATGAACAAACTGTACAATTGTTTCTTAATGTGTTTGGCAAGATTTTTTTTAAATAATATAATAATTTTTGCAGCTTTATATATATATCACACTCCTCTCCATAGCCCGTCGCCCACTGCTGTCATCGCTCTATCTCAGCCGAACTCGCCGTTCCGAGCGAAGTCGCAAGCTCACCGCTACGAGTCATTCACGGCCTAGTCAGCTGACTTCTCCACAGCCGTACCGAGCCCATCATCATCCCGCTAGCTACCATCATCCGAAGCCACAAGCTCACTACCGAACCTGTCCACCGCCGCAGCTCATCGCTGCTGCCACCACTTCACCGCCAAGCATAACCATTATAAGCACTGCCGATTAGTTCCAAGCTTGTCGAATGTTCCCCTTACCGACCGGTCTCTCCACAGCCAACCCCTCCATCGCCTGTCAGACCATCACGACCGAGCCCTCCACCAGCCGATCTCGCCATTGCCGCAAACCACCCCATCGCGGCTGAGTTCATGCCACCGTCCAAAGCCTCCTTACTCGCCGACCCATGCCGCAATCTCATTAGCCGAGCTCTCCACCATCCGAAGCGTCCTTGCTAGCCGGCCCATGCCGCCATCTCCATAACCGAACCATCCACGGCCGAGCTATTTACCGTTGTTCCTCACCGACCTAATCCTTGCGTCGCCATAAACTCTCAGCTCTCTGGTTGTGGATCGAGACAGTACTTGGTATTTGGACATTGAAACAAATTTTTATATATATATATATATATTTGCATAGATGGGTTTATGTATATCGGTTTATAGAGAGAGAAAAGAGAAAGGCAATTAGGTCATTTAATTATTTTTGATATTTTACTATTAAAATTAATCAAATAATGTAGGACAAATTAGACTTTCCACACGTTTTTAGGCTCTGTTTGGCTATCAAATATAACAAGGGGGTGTCTTTGTCCCAAAACAGACTAAGTTTCATTTGTGTGTCCTTTTGACAAATCTCAAGAGGTGTTAATGTACTTTACCCTAAATAAAAAGTACAATACATTGAATCTTTAATTGGTTAAATGTATATTTAATTGATTTGATCAGTAAAAAACAATGAATCTTAATAACTACAACGCATTGAATCTTTAAGACTATTGAGAAACTAAATGTTTAAAAATAAAAATAATAATGTACATAAAATATCTTATTAAATTAATTCCTTATTAATTTATTGCTAAATTAATATATCGCTTAATTAATAAAATTTATGTGGTCCCAACTATTAATCTATAGAGGTTATACTGTAATAAGCTAGTAACTTTACATCTCAAAAAGCAAAAAAAATAATTTTTAAATATACATTATTAGTTATTATTTAATATTAATATATTAAAAAATCACTTTTATATTTTTCGTCCTTGACTCAAATTATAATATTGAGAGGGAGAGAGAGAAAACAAGAGGTGGGTGTAACCTTCTGCTCACTTAGCAAGGGTTGCTCGTAGAGCACAAGAAGAAAGAGCTCCGCCGATTAAGCAAGAGAGAGATGCTCCTGAGATGAGAGGTTGCTACTTTAAATCCGATGGTGTTTTTCGTAGCAGTCCAAGGGGTTGGTTTACTTTTGGGCATGCTTCATTTGCTTTGCTCTTCTTCTTCGGCCACATTTGGCATGGTGCTCGAACCTTGGCAAAGCAGTCGAACCTTGTAAATCTTGGTGGTTTGAGTTTGAAGTGGTGATTTCCGCTTTTCTAATGGAAAAACAGGAATTAGAAAACTTTTCGATTGAAGGTTCTTGAGCGATCAAGTCCCGATAGGGGTAAATAGCTTGTGTTTGTGTGAATCAAGTTTCGTTGTTTCATGTTTGAGAAAGAGAAAAACTGAGTGACTTGTTTGAGTGACCACGGAAGACAGCACATTAGTGTTGAGTTCATACACATTCCTTGCTCAGTCAAGCTATTCTTTCAATAGGAAAAATAGTTGGGTAATTTAATAAAACAAGCTTAGGGGCATTTAGAACATGAAATAATTCTAAATAGTGATTATGAGTGCATTACTTGATTTGTAACTCTTAAAAATAGTTTTTAATTTTGAACTAAAAATAAAAATTGTACAAAAACCTGTTTGGTTTCATTTTTTAAAACTCAATTATAAAAATGCTTGTTTTCAGATAACAGTCTTGAGAACTGATTTTTGGATAACTGTCATTTTCTAAAACTCAATTACAAAAACACTTGTTTTCAGATAACAATCTTGAGAACTGATTTTTGTATGACTGCCATTTTCTAAAACTCAATTATAAAAAAACTTATTTTCAGAGAACAGTCTTGAGAACTGATTTTCGAATAACTGTCATGAAAACTGCTGTTTTCAAAAAACTGTCTTTTATACTTCTTTGAAAATAATTTTTTCTTGAGAACAATTTTCGGAATTAAAAACCAAGACATATGTATTGATCAAAAGATTCAAAACCAATCATCCCATGTAAAAGACAACTACAAACACTATATAAGAAAGCATCTTTTTTGATAAATGTTTATTGATTTGAAAACAGTTTTTGGAACTCTTGAGAACTATTTTCGGATAACTGTTTTTTCTAATTCGCTGGAAACAATTTTCTATGTTCTAAAGTCGCACATGTAATTGATCAAAAGATACAAAACCAATCATCCCTTGCAATAGACAGCTAAACACTATATGAAAAGTCATAGTTCTCAATATAGGTCATGAAGCAACAAGAGGCAATAAGATGCTGCTACCAATTTTATAAGCTTCATCAACAATAATCAGGCCTTTTTTTCCCTACTACTTGTGGTTGGTAATATGAATCTTATGTTTCCATTTCAAATATGAAAAAGTCATAAACTCAATCAAACCAGATGTTACAAAATCCTAAACCCAAATTCAAACACAATTCGGACTAGAGAAGATATTCCTCGTATCAAAGCAAGGATTGCGTATTAAAATTTTCATTTTCATCAATTATTATTATTATTATTATTACAGTATTTGTGTGTGTGTGTGTGTGTGTGTGTGTGTTTTTTTTTTTTTTTTTTTTTTTGTTTTGGGTGGGGGGGCTAGAAACACAAAGTAATATATCATAAGGTATCATCAAAGAAAAAAAAAAAGTGTACATTCCAACTCATGACAACAAAATTTGCAAGACAACCAAACCACCCAAAAAGTAAATATAGCAGAAAAGCTAGTTTCAAATGAATTATCTTCTTAAAAACCTAAAGCCTCAATACCATCAAAACTTTCAAATGAGTATCTTTTTAAGAACCTAAAGCCTCAATACCATCAAAACTTTTCATTGCAGGAATGTTATCACTCATTATCATTTAAGTGGATTTGTAAACAAAAAGAATCAGACCTAAATCCATCCCAGAGAGTTCTTGGCCACCCGTGGCCTCCTTTAATGATCACCGATGCTCTTTATAATATCAGAATCACCTGAAATCCACCAGATATTTACACAATGAAATTAAATAATACCGATATTAAGCACTACCGATATTAAGCACTAACAGAAGTATAAACCATCAACCATTATGATTACCAGGGTCGATTATGCCGAGGCAGCATACTCTGTAGTATTTGCCACATGCAGTTCCCAGGTCGACATTGTCTGAAATAACAAAATAGCATATCAATAACACAACGTACTCCATGAATTATGCGATATTTTCATGACCCAAACACTAGGCAATAAAGGTAAAACCAATAGTACTAGCATAGACTGTAATCCAAACTAACAATCCTTAAAATAAACTTACTGAACCCAGTTCCTTTAATTAATTACCATTGGCACAACAAAAAATTAGGAGAAAAAATATTACAAACTTGCAAGAAATATGACCGACCACAATTTAAACTACATAATTGAAAAATATCATCTGCAAATGCCATACCATGTAGCTACTACTGCAATTTCAACATTTAAAATATGAACACAAATTGCATATAATTATCTTTAGATACAGATGCTTACCAAAAAAAAAAATTATCTTTAGATACAGAGAGAAAGTACGCCACTTGAACCGAATAATTTGAATAGAATGAATTCCACAAAAATTGTTTCCTCTTTGGGTGTAGTTTTAAAACACATTTCTACTGCAGTTCCACATTTCGCTAGGTAATCAATCAGGGAAAAACAAAGGAAAATATATATATATATATTGAGGACGCTAAAGACGGCTTGGGCCAGATCCAACTCACATAACAAAGTATGGGCCTGACAATTGAAAAGGGCCCGATCTTGACGTCCACAAAGCAGACCGGGTGTATTGGACCGATTAAAAAAGGCCTTCCAGGAGGATTCAGGCCCATAACCACTAAACCTTGAGGATAGGCCCAGCAGCGGAAATTAGTGAAAAAGGCTCTGGAGTAATGTAAATGATCTATAAATAGAAAGGAGAAAGGAGAAATAAGGGGAGAAAATTTTTTTGAAGTGTAATGAAATTCTGTCAACTTAGAGAGAGAAAATTCATGCATCTTCAATTGCGCCGTCTGTGGGAAGCGAAGAGGATTGATTAATGATTCATTCAGATTGATTTGATCTAGTAGTATAGCGCTTGAGGACGAAGCCTGATTGTTGAAGGCAGAATTGAGGTCGGTGAAATTGAGACCGGAGAAATCGGCGTTTAATCTATGCAGTTCAGCTTTGTGCTTGTTTTGGAGAGTTGAGCGGTCAAGAGCCGCTGAAATTGCCAAATTTGGCAAGTTCGTTGCCAGAGCAATTCAGATCTGGTTAATTACGTTCAACATTCAGCTGCACTAGAATCCAGATCTAGAGCGTTAGCATTGGCAAAACTCAGATCTGATCAGAAATTTGCGATTGATGACTTTGCTACGATCCGGAATGATGATCGGAGAAGAGAATTCGAATCCAGTAGAGAATAACCAGCAGATGAAGCTTGACGAACTGATGAACATGATCGAGGCATTGAGAAAAGAAAATGCAGAGTTGAGAGCTGGAATGGAGCGACGAGAAGTTCCGGTCACGAAGCGACCACCTCCGGTAGGTGAAAGAGGTGTGCGACCTGATGATGCACATCAAGGTGAGCAAGAAGGAGATAACCGCGTCAATCTCCACCGCGAGGAGGTTAGGATGGAGAATATACCGCCAAACGCTGGTCGAGCCGAAGATCGAGAAGGATCTGTACATCTCAATCCTCATCGTGAGCATATCAGGCAGGATGACAATACAGCCCTCAATCCGCATCAGGAAAGGCACAATCGCAAGCAGGATATGGAGTTTGATTGTCACAAGGTTAATTCATCGTGGTTCACGGAGGAAAGGTCGATCGATCCACCTTATCGGCCTTCAATGGCCACATATGATTATAGGAGTTCGGAAAGAAGATCTACAGACCAAAGAGTTGTCACAAGGTTTGAAAGAGAGAATGAAGCCCTCCGTTCAGCAGCACGGACGGTTGATTCGCCGTTCACCGATGAGATCCTGAATGCTCCGAGCCCGAGGAAGTTTTCCATGCCTATTTTTATTCTATTCGACGGAACGACCGATTCGATTGATCATGTCTATCACATTCAGTTGAAGATGGCACTGAACACAGAAAATGATCCTTTGATGTGAAAGTGTTTTCCTACAAGCTTAGCTGGACCGGTGCTCAATTGGTTTAAGAACCTACCGAGGGGCTCGGTAGACAGCTTCCGTAGCTTGTGTGATCGATTCATAAGCCAATACTATGGGAATAAGCGTCCGGCAAAAGATATCTCCAGCTTGTTCACCATGAAACAACATAACGACGAGCGTCTCCAAGCTTTCCTTACTAGGTTTAACCTAACCAAGAGCATGGTGATAGAGTGCCATCCTTCCACAGCAGTTCAGGCGTTCAAGTTAGCTATGACCTGAGGGACACCGTTCCATACCAGTCTGGTGGTAAACATGCCGAAGACCATGGACGAGCTGAATGAGAGGGCTGATGGTTTCGTACGCCTGGAAGAGGAAGAAGCAGCTAACGCTAGGAAGACATCCATCATCTCCACGGAAGAGAAGTCCAAAGCAAAAATACGGCAGAAGCAAGCTCCTACGCAACGTCAGACCTTCTGGAAGGCAGAGAAGAGGCCTAGAGAGGATGACCTGATTACTCCACTCAAAGTTACACTCGCAAGGCTATACCAAGAAAACAAAGATAAGTTTCGCCCTCCCTTACCAATTAGACAACCGCTTGAGTAGCGGGATCAATCCAAACATTGTGCTTTTCATAGTGATTTTGGTCATCAGACTAATGACTGCAGGAACTTAAGGAGACAAGTGGAGATGCTGATCGCTAGGGGAGAGTTTGCAGGGTATGTTCAAGGACCGGCGCAAGAGCAAAGTCGTCCAGCTGAGCAGGTCAAGAGAAACCAAAAATTGAACCACCATAACGCTCAGCCTGTACGAATTATCAACACAATCCATGGCCGACCCGAGCAAACCGTAGAATCTAAGGAATTGCTCCGAACACGCCTCTGCCAAGCGCAAATGAAGAGGCGGGTAGGCAATGTCAACACACTGCACCAACAGAGTTCGGCCATGCAGATACGGTTCGATAGGACAGACCTGATGCGAGTTCAGATTCCGCATGAGGATCCCTTGGTTGTCAATCTGACAATGGCAAAATGCTTAGTACGCAGAGTGTTTGTCGATCCGAGTAGCAGTGCGAATATCATGCCTAGAGTCACTTTTGATCGGCTTGAAATTAAGCCAGAGGAGCTCAAGTCTACTGGAAATCTGTTGTTGGGGTTTGATGGCAAACGAGTCGAACCGATCGGCACACTGGAATTGGTGGTCCGAGCAACTGAGAGGGACTTGGTCGAAAGTTTTGTCGTGGTGGAGATCTATCCCTCGTACAATTTGTTGATGGGGAGAGGATGGATCCATAGGGTATAAGGAGTCCCCTCAACCCTACACCAAGTGATGAGGTGCCTAAGCCCGGACGAGAACAAGGTGATTGACATCCATGGGGATCAGGTTGCGGCAAAGGAATGCTATTCAGTGACCCTAAGGGCCGCAGGCAAGGGCAAGGCTCCCATCCAATCAGTTGATGCCCAATAGCAATTACAGGCACCTCCCTCGGCGTGAGCAGGGAGGAGGAGTCCATGATGCTGACCGAAAAGCCTCTGGATGAAGTTCAAATTGATCATTTAAGGCCAGACCGAACCACAAAAGTAGGATCGCGACTTTCAGATGAGGAAAAACGCCAGTTAATTGAGTTCCTTTCTCAAAATGCAGATGTGTTCACTTAGAGCCATTCAGACATGCCGGGGATCGACCCTTCTATCTCTTGTCACTCCCTTAATGTTGATCCGAACGTTAGGCCTGTGAAGCAGAAGCAGAGGAGGTTCGCCCCGGAACGCAACCAGATCATCGCTGAGGAGGTAAACCGATTGTTGGGGGCTGGGTTCATTCGAGAAGTACAATACCCGAGCTGGTTGTCAAATGTGATTGTAGTACAGAAGAAGAATGGAAAATGGAGAGTTTGTATTGACTTCACCAATCTAAATAAGGCCTGCCCGAAGGATAGCTTTCCACTTCCGAAGATTGATCAAATGGTGGACGCTACAACAGGATATGAGCGGTTAACTTTTCTTGATGCTTATTCAGACTATAATCAAATTCCTATGGATCCGAACGATGAAGAAAAGACCTCTTTTATCACCGAACGAGGGATCTATTGTTACAAGGTCATGCCGTTCGGATTGAAAAATGTTGGGGCTACGTACCAAAGGTTGGTTAGCAAAATTTTTAAAGAGCAAATGGGCGAAATAGTGGAGGCATACATTGACGATATGGTGGTAAAGAGCAAGCAGAAGGGACATCACTTGAAACATTTGCAGGAAGTGTTTAATGTATTAAGAAGGTATGGAAAGAGGTTAAATCCAACAAAGTGCTCGTTCGGTGTGGGATCAGGGCAATTCCTTGGCCATGTGGTCAACAACAAAGGGATTGAGATCAGCCCAACCCAAGCAGAAGCCCTGCTTAACAATACAGAACTGTGCACTATTAAGGAAGTTCAGGCTCTTACCGGGCGTATAGCGGCATTGAGTCGGTTTATTTCCAAGTTATCTGATCGGTGCAAACCATTTTTTGATATAATCAGAGGTCACGGAAAGCAGTCTTGGGGGAATGAGCAGAGGCAGGCACTGACCAATCTGAAGGAATATATGCGGAACCCACCAGTTTTGAGTGCCCCAGAGCCAGGTGAAAAACTCTTCTTATACCTCGAAGTGTCTAGCGTTTCAACCAGCGGTGTTCTGATCCGGTATGCTGAGGGTAAGTAGTTCTCAGTCTTTTATGTAAGCAAAACATTGGCCGAGCCAGAGTGAAGATATTCAAAGGCCGAACGGGTGATCTTGTCCTTGGTGAACACAAAAAGGAAGCTCAGGCACTATTTTGAATCCCATCCAATAGTCGTTCTGACCACATTTCCCATAAGAGTGATCCTACATAAGCCCAATCTGTCCGGACGAATGATGAAGTGGGCGATAGAGTTAAGCTCTTTTGATATCACATATGAACCCCGAATGGCCATCAAAGGGCAAGCAGCGGCTGATTTCTTGCTAGAGTGTGATGTGGAAGAGCCCGAGGCCTACTTAGAAGAATCCTCATGGAAGCTCTTCGTT